ATACTTGAAATTTTTCTTTTAATTGACGATGAGATAATCCATTTTCTTTATCCCCAATTAAATTCATTTTTTGTTCTAAATCAAGTTCATGACGAGATGCCATATTTAATATTTAATAGACGATATTGACGATGATTGAAAATAATGACCCTTTCTCTCTTTAAATTTGCTCTCTTCTTTATCGTGATAAATTATAGAGCCAATCGAATTCATCTTACTCATCTTCGTAGCACCAATCATTTTTTTCATTCGAGTAGCGCTCTCTATAGCTATATGAAAGGTAATGCAAGGGTATTTCGTTACGATTTAGCCGTTTATAAACCCATATCTATATTGAAATAAATGGGTTTTTTAATTTGATCTACCCTTTGAAAGCGTTTAACAGAATGCAACAGATAATATACCCTTTCACCATTTTTCAATCCTATCAACGTTTTGATAAACCTCTTATAACGGATATTTTAGGTTGATAAACCACTTTTTTGCACTATTTTTCAGGGTAGATCAAAGAGTTTAGCACATTCTGATAAATGGTAGAAAAGAGTATCTTATCCGTTGCATCCTGATAAACCTTTTAAAGGTTTATCATTCTACTCTTTTTTTTCGGTGTTTAATGTCCCAAAATATTTTATCTGCAACTAGAATTACGACAACAATATTTATTTGTGAATTTTGTCGAAATTATTTTCTTCCAGATCCACTTAAATCTACAGAATACATCAAGTCATTATTAATTATACCATCAATGATATTAATGAAAGAGTACTTATGACTAAATCGTTGTATCTGTATGAGTCTAGATCGATAATGGAATGGCCATACTCGCATTAACAGGTAAACCTTTTAGTCGAATTAATTTTAACAAAATCCATTACTCTTATTTCAAAACAATAGTTTGTCTGAAGATATTTTGCCAACCAGAAGTTTCTATAGCAGTGATGCCTTTCCCGAGAACAACAAAATAAAGACAATTTTTTATTAGAAAAATGAAATCTAAATAAAAGTCATTCATAATTGAGAAGAAAGAGACGAAGAAAATGTAATCATTAGTGAGCTAAAATAGTTCTATTGTTAAATCGTTCTCACAGACAAGCTTGTTCGTCAAAAATGATTTTCATTCTGGATTTATTTGTTATGGTTGATACAGCTCCGAAGAGCTAATTCCAACTCCACCTGCAACTAATACTTTTCCATTCGATAGCACGCATGCTGTGTGAGCATGTCGAGCATAACTCAAACTCCCAGTGACTGTCCACGCACCTGTTGATGGGTCATACAATTCAGCACTATTTAAAATAGTACTACCAACATCATATCCAGCAGTGACTAATACTTTGCCATTGGTTAACACAATTGCTTTGTGATGATATCGAGAATAACTCATACTTCCAGTGATTATCCAAAGACCTGTTGATGGATCATACAATTCAGCCGTATTTATATCACCACCATTATATC